CACCTCAAAGAACCTGCCATGAGAGAAGAGGAYGAGGCAGAAACAATCAGATCTGACTCTGACCTTTATGGATAGCTTAACCTCTGTTAAGTTTTATATAAGAGCCCCCCAGAATTGCCTGGGCAACTGTCTGGATTTAGGGAACCACAGATGCAAGTGAGGAGCCCCAGGCACGAGGCATTTGAGGGAGCTTTAGTGAAAGCAAAGATTCAGGAATTTAATCTGGTGTAGCACAGTAATTTTGGAGACTGCAAGGCACAATTTTTTCCCAATGTGATTTCTTTTACATGCACAGATTTACTTAATGATCAGAGGCAATGGAGCGAGTAAGGTGCATTGTGGAGTACCTTGATCTAAAACTAATCCTGTTCTACTTCCTTCCACATCTGTGACCTCAACCAGCCAAACTGAAAAGCTCTGCACCTTGGTGTCACCTCTAGTGATGCCAAAAAGCACATGGAGCATATGAAAAGAATCCTGTGGGTTGCATGGTTCCTCTGGAGGTCACCTGGCACAACCCAGCACACAGAGCRGAGCCTACAGACACACAAAACAATGTGAAATGGCCTCAGAAGAGCCTGTGGAAAACAAGCCTCACCTCCAGATGACCTGAACCTTAAAAGTGGCTGTGGCAGAAGCCAGCCTGGATTGAAAGTGTTGGACCCATTTCTAATTTGCCTTGTCTTTGATGCAAATGTGCTTTGAAGAGCACCATGTTGTTATTTTCTGTTGTCAATGGGCATGACGTTTTGGAAATCAASCTTGACTTTAAACCCTTTTTCAGTGAGAATCTTTCATCATTCACTTTAATGAGGAATCCCCCTCAGTTCGGCTCAGTCTTTGTGCTAAACCATGGCTACTTGGCAGTGCCTGGTCCAGCTCTGCAGTCCATGGCTCGCTGCAGGGTCAGGGSATCAGGGAAACAAGAAGCAAGGGTGAGGCAGGGTCTCAGCTTCTCCTTAGCCCAGACTGACTCAGAGAATGGTGATCCTTCGGCTGGCTGTGGCACATTTGGCTCCCTCCCAGCTCCAGCTGTCACGCTGGGAGTGGCATCTCCGAGGGGGCCCCTGGGTCAGCAGCTTTTTGTGGAGCTGCTCCTCGGGCAAAGGGAGCCAAATGTCCTACAGTCCTTGGGGCAACGAGGAGAGCTGCRTCCAAGTCTTTGTTCCTTGCTGATTCTGCTGCTCTGGATTTGTGTGCTGCAACACTGCTGTTGGCACTTGGCCGGGGTGCTGATGCCTGGGAGAAATATCTGTGTAAACATGATTATATGTGAGCTAGCTGAGCGTCTCTGGGAGCCCAACCACGCTGAGCCCACTCTGTTTCCAGGGCAAAAATGGCAGGAAAAAGCTGAGCTTTTTGGAGTCCCATGCAGCACTGTGTGTCCCCAGCCCCAGGAGAAGCAGTAGGAAAGACTGTGTCACCACAAAGCTGCAGCCCAGGCCTCGCCTTCTCCACGCCTGGTGTTGTGTGTGCTCTTGGACTCGCTGTCACCATCACCCAGGCTTCGCTGCTTTCTGGCAAGCAGAGGAACAAGAGCAGGCAATGTTTTACAGAAGATGGTGTCTGGCTATGGAAAAGCTGTGCAACATGACTCATTTTGTGTAAAGGACATGAAATTACAACTGCGTGCCACATGAGAGATGGTAGCTGGGCTCAAATCAAAAAACATCCTCATCCAGGAAGGGTATYCAAGCATGTGCTTAATTTAAGAACATACTTAATCAGGGCCTTTGGGCATAAAAGGGTAATGATTATTCTTGTGTTGCTGGGAAAATCCAAGTGACATCCGGAAGATGTATTACTCGAGAAAATTTAGTGTTATTTCAGTGTCCTCGTTTAATCTTTCAATTTCCAAAAATGTAATTCTTTTAATTTGTCATTGCTATGAGTTCCTTCACAGCTGTTTTACACTCGATTGTTRATGCCAAGTGGAATCAGCAAATACAATCTGGTTCAGATAATAAGTGTGGAAGATCAATCCTCCATCCGTCTCTTTTCTCCGTCCCCATTAAACTTCCCAGCATGTAAGATATCTGTGTTTGACTTTGCAGGGAAGGCTAGCCACAGCAAAAGAACTCCTGGTACACACTGTTGAATCATTTGAAATCAGCAACATCCTTGCCCAGAATTTTTTCAATGCATTTGACCCCTCATTTTTTCTCTAAATAACTGTGCATTGCTGCAGAGATCAGAAATGGTGCGATTTTAAGATGGAAATGACTTTAAGAGTGCAAGGAGCCAAGGAGAGGCTGCCTGTCTCAGTGTGACCAGTGCAGATGGCAATTAATGCCTTTGTTTTCCTTGGAAAAACAGAGTGGCACAGCTACTCCAGACCCAAGAGCTTTAAAAAGGCAGCTCTGGTCTATGCTGACCACATTTCATGGTTTCATGCCCAAACCTTTCTGTCACTGTACAGCAGATGTCCCCTGAGCTGGCCTTGACTTCTCCCTGCCTAGGGACTCTGGGCACCAGCTGGAATTTTCAAAGGGGCTGCWGGGATCTGGGACCCAAGTGGACATCCCACCTATACCCTGTAGGAGATATTCAGCCTGCTGCCCTTGGAGCATGGCCTCATTTTTTTTAGTTACTTGCTGTACAGCGAAGATATTTAGGCACCTGTTTTACCAGAGATTCTCCAGCCAAGAGATAAACAAGGGCTGTTATTGGCCATAAGGTAAGTGCYTGTTAATTTTATTGACTTTGGGTTAAATCCTGTTCATCCTCCTCAGGCAATTACTCCCACTGAAACCAATATGAATGTCTGCACGAATAAAGCAGTTGGATTTTGGCCCCTTTTAGAAGACAGCAATCATAAATCTAGCTGCCAACACAAATCCAGGTGTTAACCAGGGATTTTCCTTGGGGGAATAACCACAGTAAAGATCTGTGGGATAAAACTGGGGAAATGGATGGCATAAAGGAAAAGAAAATTTAACTTCATTTTACCCTGGTAATATTAGAGTAGATTTTCAACTGGGCATCAGTAAAACATGTCCTTAGCTTTGCCACTGCTTCCTTGTCTGACCTTGGTGATGATCCTTGAACATCCTGTCCTTCTCAATGCTGTGGTTAAATATAATTWTATGTGACTTTGAGAGACAAGATACCCAGTGAGTGCAAGCTATTGTAAGGATATTTTAAAAACTACATGATAGTGACAAAACCTCTTGGTGGGAAACTGTGAAAACAYAGTACTCTAAGCAACAAGACTAGAGGAGAAGGGCTTTTCTCWTTTTTTTTTTACCTCTTGTTTATTTTCCTCTTCCTTTTTTGAGCAATATATCTTAATCTTGCTCTATGGATGTAGCATGAGAGTTATGTGYGCAGAAAGCATCTGAAACCACTTTGTTTCTAGTTTTCTTTCATCCATTTGTTATTATAAATAACCAAAGAGGATATTGCTTAATCCATAAAACAAAGTGACATCATAATTTATTAATACAGAAGACACAGTTCATTGCTGTTAAATGCCATAAAGAGCTGGAAATAGAGTAGTTTCTCAGAAGACACTGCCAGCGTGTCAGAGGAAATATTTCCTTGATGCTATATCAGCACATGTAAGATCCTCTCTGAGTGCTTCACCATTTTAGCTAATTCCAGCTGAACTGCTCTGCCACATCCAAAGGAAGTTTTGGTGGGGATTTCTCCAGTCTCTGACATCTTCTCTCCGCCTGCCCCACTCCTCCCAACGCTTTGCTCTTGCTGTCTGCTTCTGTGGGAAGGGAAAAAAAAACCCAAATAGCACCATGGTGGGGACAGAGCTGGCTGGTCCATTTATGGTTCCCTCATCGGTGTTGGTGGGGCAGCAGCACAAGCCCACGTGTCCTCAGGGTGTCCTGGTGACAGTGGGGACACGGAGCTGCATGGACAGAGGATCAATGCTGTACACCGGGCTGTACACACTCGGCCCTGGGCCAGCAAACCATTTAAGCACCTGTTTACCCCTAAGCTTTTGAGTAATTCCTCTGGCCTGAGCTGAGCACAGGCTTCCCACAGCCTCTTCGCTTCCCATGGGCTTCCCTCACAGGACTGGTGCACCGTGGCCCAGCTAAACCAGGGCTGCTGGCACAGCCCCAGCATGGGACCACTCACCACCCACCTCTTGTTGCTCCCTCCTCTTCACAGAGCCAGAATTCAGTGTCCGACTCTACAGRCTCCAGTCCTGCTGGCACCTCCACGGGCAAGTCCCTGGGGAGCCCCACCGGTGTCTGAGAGGCTCTGCCAGGGCTCCCAGCTCTGGACTCAGTCACAGAGCATTTTTTGTATTTTTCAGGAAAGAAATCCAAATTCTGTTGTTGTGCTGTCTCCAAGCACCAGCGTGAGCCCACATATGGATGAAATGCAGCGACCACAGGTCCACAATAAGACATCCCTCACTCTTTTCGGTAACATAAACAATCTTCCTGGTATGGACAACTTGCAGCCCTGGAAACACGCTCAATGGATGTTCAGCTCCATGTTCCACCAATRCCTGCACAGAAGCACCAGTCCTCACTGCTGGTCCCCCTCTGCCTCATCATAAAACACACCCAGTGTGATTTTACAACTTTTGGGAAGAGACAGGATCCTTTTTGGCTCCTCGGGACATTAATYTGTATTTTTATTTGTATGAATTTCATGCTTTCCATACACTCGACTCCCTCCCAGGGGAATTCGGGTGTCTGGGACGGGCACGGTGTTGCTTGGGGTCCCCAGGCGAGCCGCGGTACCAAGGGCTCCAACCTGCCTGCTCCCTGCACAGGCACCGGAGCGTTCCCGGCTCCCCGGCTGGGCAGGTTTCCCTGCCGTTCCCCAGGCGGCAGAGCGGAATTCCTGCGGGGCTTTGGGCCGTGGGGCTCCTTTCCGCGCTGACACACGCGTGTGCCCGCACCTGTGCGGCCGYGGCCGCTCGCACGGCCCGGAGCCCGCGCGTTGGCAGTGCGCTACCCCCCTGCATCCCCCCCTTCTCCGGGCTATATGTGGCATTTCGAAGCTCTGACAATCTGCTCCAAATGTTTTCCATATTTGTTCAGCCTCCTTGATTCAAATACCAGGAACAACTCAGCCGGCACAAAGCGAAGCTTTGGGGGGCGAAAAACTCACACCCCCATCGGCGTGCGCACACACACACGCACGTGAAAGCCTCAAGTCCGGCGGCATGGGAAAGGAGGACAAGAAAGCCCAGCGCAGCACGTCCCCGAATAACCAGAGCCAGACAGGGAAGGCRCCCGGAGGGGAGAAGGGCACCGACTCAACGCAGGAGCCTGCGATGAAGAAGAAGAAGAAGCAGAGGAAAGCCAAGGGGGATCCCAAAACTGGCCAGGAGGAGGAATCCCACACTTGTTGTGGCTGCCGTTTCCCRCTGCTCCTCACTTTGTTGCAGCTGGCGTTAGGCACCTCTGTAACAGTGCTGGGCTTCCTTATGGCAGGCATCAGTTCCTCTCTGCTAGTCAGAGACACTCCATATTGGGCTGGGATAATTGTAAGCATAAAGTTTGTTTCTCCATAAAGTGCCTTTGCCAGCATTAATGCAAGCTGCATGACGCTCCACTTTAGACTAACCAACTGCATGCACAACACCATTTGAGTTATGCTAACTATAAATATTCCTGGGATTAAGTGGCTGGCTATACTTTCCCAAGGAAGACTGCTCCCGCAGCATAACACAGCCTTTCGTATTCTTCCCTGCAATACCCAACAGACCTGAAATAAAATACAGAGTTGCTGTTCACTAGAAGTATCTATTAATTTGTGCTTTGCAGTGAACTCCTGCCTGGCGATGCTGAAAAAAAATGTTAATTTCTTACGCTGCCTACCCTCTTTGCACACCAAACCATAAGCATCAGGTTTTGGAAGCGAGAGCATAACTCTGTAACTCGCAGCTTCCAGCCGGGCGAGGAGAGCAATGTCTGTCCCCCGGAGTTTCCTTGCTGTTCTTTCCTTGCTGGGATTTAACCCTCTTCCTGCTGCTGTTCCTGAYGTCTCCCCAGCAGTGGGAGAGACTGGCCATGGGGAGGGGGACAGCGCTGGCGGATGTGGCAGGGACAGGGAGCCCGTCCCAGGCCTGCCTGTGGCTCCTGCCAAGTCACTTGGGAGTGACACGCCAKCCTCATCGCGTGGGCTGGGGACAGAGGGCAGCGTCCTGCTGGCTGTAAATCAGAGACATCCCTGGGGGGGAAGCCTGGGYTGTTCCCCAGCAGCAGCCATCCCTGCAGGGGTGGGGACGGGGTGCGTGGTGCCATCTGTGGTGTGACCCTGCTGTCTGTGTGTGTGGGGACATGAGCTTTGCCTGTGGAGACGTAGGGTCGGTGATTATGAGCCTGGAATAGGCCATGGATGTAATTGAGCGTGCAGTATTTTCCCCTGAGCAGCAGGTTTCAGGAAAGTTTATCCTGAAAATATGTCCTGATATGTTAGCACAGTTCTGGGTGTTGTCAGACTGGAAGAATTCCCAGCAAATACAATTGTGTTTAGGTACTTAGCTCAAAGCACCGAAGAGCTATGGAAGCATCTCCTGTAAACATAATTCCTTGTTAGAAGATTATCTGAACATCTGAACTGACTGGGGTTTGCTCTGTTAATCCTGCTGGGCAATCCTTCAGAGAGTGGAAGGAGCAGGGCCTGAGCTCCCAAAGGAAGAGCTCCTCTGACTCATCTCTTCATGTTTCTCTTCTGACTGAAAAGGTATCCAAGCATTTAGTGGTGTTTAGTGGGGCAAGAGCCTGTCCTTGCTTGGAAGGAGAACTTCCTGCCAGGATTTTGGCTGTTGCAGACCTGGGAAGAATACAGGTGATGAAATAGCAGTATGTGGCATGTACTCTCCTCTTGTTTTATTTTGGGGATTCTGGAGGTCAGATTATGTCTTTTCCAGACAGAACTGGTGCTGTCACAGGTTTGACATATCTTTTTCACTAGAAAAAGCTGGGGAAAGAGTGAGCTGGACTGAACTAATGTACAGCCAGGGATATGAGAAAAGCCGTGAAGCAGCCCCCAGCCCATGTGAATGTCATCGGTGCTCAAGCAGCATCCTTCTGAGACATCCACAAATGGCTGGTCTCCCTTGGGGAGGCCTGAAGCCCCACCAAAGTCACTACTTTATGAAAACAGAGCTCTAACCCCTGTTGTTTTTAGCAGCAGCTGCCAGCAGCAGTGACATTTAGATGTCCACATGAGGCAAAGCTCAGTCGCTTTCAGAGTTCCCCCTGAAAATCAGGAATAATTCTCCATGTGTGTTCCTGATCTAATTCCCAACACYGAGCACGACTCAGCTCTCAGGCATGGTGGTCATGTTTTGCACTCACCAGTCAGGATAATCCCTGGGGAAGCCTTTCCTGGGACTGTGTACTGGCTGTGGGAGTCAGGGCTATGTTTTGGATCGGCTTCCAGGGTGTCCTGGCTGTGGCTGCAGGTAGGGCCCCATGGGGAAGGGTGACTGCACTGACTCTCTGAGTCAGATGGTGGCTCTCACCAGGGGGACTCTGCTGAGATGTTGAGTCACCAGCACACTCAAGCGTGGTTTGATTCCTCTCTGGCTCGAAATGGCTTTTGGTGCCCCCCTGTTTTCCCTCAGGGTGATGACAGGGACTGTCTGCTGGGGACTCGTGGCCAGGCAGACTCCTGGGCAACCACACTGCTGTCCTGTGCCCTCAGCCCAAAGCAGAAGGGAAGGAGGGTCTCCTACCAGCTGAGAGGGAGCTGAAAAGGAAGCTGGTGCTAGAATGAGAGGATGAAGTGTTGGGACAGCCCCAGACCTCCCAGCAGTGGAGCCCCTGTGGAGCACTGGCTGTGGTACCCTGGAGCAGTGCAAAGCACGTGGCTGAGGGGCAAAATGCAGGAGGAACAACACAGTGCTTCATTTGCTTTGTTCCTGTGCTGTGGTGCCTCCACGGAGGGACTTGGTGTCCACTGGGACATTGGGTGGAGATGAGCTGGGGTTTCCAGGTGTGCAGTCACAGGGTGCTGCTGGTGAGCTCTGGTGGGGACTGCACTGAGGACCAGCCTTTGGAGAGTTGGGGAAAACTGGTCATGAAGGAGGGCCCTTGGCTGGGGCCTCTGTGTGGCTGGAGGTCCTGTGGGCCGGCTCTTGGGATGCGTGGAAGGTGCATAGATAGGAAAAAGATGACCCATATGCTACTTGAGAACAAACCTTGTGGCAGAAAGTGGCTTCCCAACAATCATATATTCACACAGAAATGAGCAACAGGACAGAAAGATGTGGTGTAAAATACCAGAGCATATTTGTTTTAGTAGCATCCCACTCAAGTGCTCTTTTTAAAGGACTTGATTAGTATTCAGAATCAAGAACTTAAAAAATCTATTATCGAGGCCTTTTTAGCAACATTAGATATAAAGGGTGAAGCTCATTCCTGGTGTTACTCCTTTGGAATTACACCAGGCTGGATTTGACCCCACTGCTGTTAATGCAGGATGACAGAAAAATGAAAGAAAATTGCTAATGTGTTAAATAGACCCTGATTGATTGAAAGATGGTTTTTTTTTTTCCTTCTTTATTAGTGGCAAAATGGTGATACCGTTCCTTGCTGAAAATCAAGTGCTTTAGTGCATTACCATGAATGGAAAGGAACTGTTTTTAGAGGAGCAGCCAGTGTAAAATGCTAGCAAGGAAAAGCAGACAAGGCAGTCTGAATTAAGTGGGCTCTGAGTTTGTGAGGCTGGAGCAAGCCAGGGATTGGGATCATCATCCTGAAGAATAAATGTGGCCAGTGGTCCTCTGACTGGGAGTGGAGGAGGGCTCCGAGCCTGGAGAGCTCTCCCCCACCCTGAGTACCGGCCCTTCCCTCCTGAGCCCCAGCAGAAGGAAATGATGTGACTTGCATTGCACCAAAACCATTTCACCATGAAAACCAGTTAAAACCCAGTTGAAACCAAAATGCATCTAGTCCAAAATTCAAGGGGCATTGGTCAGAAAGCAAAGGAAAGTTTTATGGGCAGAAACCACCGGGCCTTCAGGATTTACCACTTCTGCTTGGGCTTCAACAAGCTATTTCCTGTAGAAAGCCTYTTAGCCATTGCTAAGGACACTGCAGATAAATGCAGTTAAAAGCAGTGAGGGTGGCATTTGTTTCAGTTGCCTGGAGCCATTTACAGTGAAGGTACCCAGGTCTGAAGCAGTTGCCTGTGAGACCTGTCCTGAGCTCCCCAAACTGGACTCCCTGACAGTCTCTTCCTTCTTGCTGTTTTGCAGGAACTTGGATAAACTCTTCACRAGCCCACTCATGAGTGCAGGGCTTTATTTTTTTCTGTGTCTTGCCACTGGCTCAGTGCATAGTTTTGGGCAAGTTACTTAACCTTGCTAAGGCTTTGTTATTTCCCCTGTAAAGTGGGGTTAATAGTGGCCATCTGTCACCCCTTGCTTTGAGATCCTGGGATGAAAAGTGTTGCAGAGACAGTAGATATTAATGGTCTCCTTTTCATTCTTTTTCATTAGCTTGTGGCCTTTTGACACCCAGAAGAAGTAACGATGTATTTCTCCTTGAAAAACCTACATTAGATTATTTCCACTGTGATCAAAAGTGGAGTGTAYCAGAGTTTTCATGGGCGAGCTCCCTTTTCAGCCCTGTTTTGCAGACTCAGGCAGTTAAGAAAGTTACAGAACTGCTCATCAGAAATGATTATCCAGGGTGTTTATTATTTCTGTCAGGAAGTTATTTTAAGTGTATATGTATAGATGTTCATAAAATTAGGACTTTTAAAAACATTTTTTTTAAAAATCTGATTCACAAGCAAGTCAMGGCAGCAACTGTGGCTCCAGCTATCACTGATTCTGGTGCAAAAAGCATCCCAAAAGCTCTGCCATGGGCTGAGGCCCMAGCCAGAAACTCTGATGCTTTTCCTGCTGCAGCCCTTCTCCATCTCCACAGGTGCTTCCCCAGGCCAGAGGGTCCCTGACTTTTACTCAAGGGGTGACCATGGCGTGTTGCTTTTTGGAATCAATGCTCAAGCATTGGTTTCTCTGCCCTGCTGGAAGTTAGGCTGATGTGGGGCTGTGTGGTACAAAAGGCTGGCAGACTTTTAGCTGAAAAAGCAGTTTAATCAACATTCATTTACCTGGAGTCAGAAATGTTTATGTCTCTATAATTTTTACTTGCTATTAGGGAAACCACTTTCAATTTTTAATAGAAGGTGATATTTAAAACCCAGTGCCATCAAAGCAGCTAGTGGAAATTACAGTCATGCAGGCATCCATATTTTTTTATACAGACTAGTTTCAATTAGCCATGGGCAAACACCTAAAGTTTTGAGGGAGGGCTGCCCTGAAGAAGAGCCCAGTGCTTTTTTAGAGCCATGGGTAGAATCTGAGCTGGACTCTTCAGAGMCCTCTGCCATTAAATCTCATCCTCATCTGAGAGTAACTGCACACTGATTAACTGAAGTCCACACTTTTGTTTTGCTCAGGTGTAGAGTGGAAAGCTTTGACGGGAACGGATGTTCCAACRTTCTGAAAGATTGGTTAGAGAAGGT